GCCGCACACATGCCAGGCGAGCGTGCTACCGCTTGAGCCACATCCCCAGCCCCAACAGTTATTGTTTCTTGCATTTGTTTTAGGCTCAAAAAGGACTCTCTATCCCCTTTCCTGGACAAATGTTTTGGTGTGGTAATGTATTAATGTAGTGGTTGTCTAATGAAAGTTAAAATTAAACATAGCTGTGCTAGGAAAGAGAAGGAGGGAAAGAGAGGTCAGAAAAGAAAAAGACCCCAAAAGATAATGGGAAGTGGTTAGCCAGTTCTTGGGGTTCAAGTTCCCCTACTTCCACTTATTTACACAACTGAACAACTAAGAAAGACTTTGCCTAAGCTTCAGCAGCATATCAACATCTGAGTTAGATCTTCTCAGCTTTTAGGATATGCTCAGCTTGATTTCTTGTATCATCATTCTAGTTACGTACAATTTTCAAAAGGGAAATAAACAAAGGTTCATGGAAAAAACATAGTTTCCCAGCTACAAAAGCAAAGAGACTTCTCACCCCCAAATTCTGAGTAGGACAGATAATGACTATCAGCCTCTACAGAATGTGGCTCTTCTTCTTCCTCAAAAACAACCTCTCACTTCTCCCCTTCCTTTATCTGGTAGCAGGATCCTCCAGCCTCAATGTACCCAGGGTCTCAAAGGAGACTTGAAAATGTAGAGCAAGAGCCCAGGCCCAGAGTTCCTGATACAGCACGTCTACAAGATTGATGGTGGGACACCTAGAGCTGTCCCTGTCTCTGTCACTTACTTGCTCTGTGATCTTAGGAGAGTGAATAAACCTCTCAATTATACTATTTGCTCATGCATAAAATGGGGCTCTGGTAGCGCCTCAGCCAGTGCCTGGCTTCAAGTACAAAGTCCCAGAGAACTGCCTCTGCCACTTCAATAAAGAAGATGACCATCTTGGTGACTATAATTACTACTGGGCAAGGCCCGGGAATCTGCATTGTAACAACTGCTTCCATGACACATTACATTTTGAGAATGTTTATATTCATGATTCCCGGTGGCGGGGAGAGGGGTGATGACAGACCACAAGAAACAGTCCTCAAGGGTCACTTGAAGCAATTCAAGTTTTCACTCTAGCTCCTCTAAGAAGCCTGAAAGCCCCAGACCCTGTACCCATCCCTCTAGGTTAGGCACACACTGTGCGCACCTCTGCAGGAGGCCTGACCACTTCACYTGGGGAGCAGCTTTCAAAAGTACTCTGAACGCAGTTGCCTTTCAGAATACAGGAAATGTCAGTCCATCAGTTAAGATTTGAAAAATTAGACACTCAAGGCCGGGCGCGGTGGCACATGYCTGTAGTCCCAGCAGCTCAGGAAGATGAGACGGGAGGATTGCGAGTTCAAAGCCAGCCTCAGCAAGGGGCAAGGCRTTAAGCAATTCAGTGAGACCCTGTCTCTAAATAAAACACAAAATAGGGCTGGGGATGTGGCTCAGTAGTCAAGTGCTCCTGAGTTCAAGACCTGGTACCAAAAAAAAAAAAAAATTAGACTCTCAATTTCTTTGCTAAGAAAAATTCACTGCATATTATATATATTTTATAAATTATTTAATTTACATATTATTCCCTATATCTGATTAAATTTTTTGACTCTTTGGCAGCTTTGCCTAGAGATCGTTTGGTTCTAAAATAAAGTATTATCAGCAAACTTCTGGGTTAGCATGATTCCCCGTTGAATCACTCCTTTAAAAACAGAAAAAAAAAAAAAAAACCTTAATGTTAGCACGTAGATGCCTGTTAGAAAACTTAGCAGAAACACAGCTGCTACTGCCTCAGAATTTCTGCAACATACTAATGATTTGTTGTGGTGGTGTTTTTCCCTTTGTGAACAGAAGATAACAAAAGCTTAGGAGGGGTTTACCCGATTCATGGGTGACCAAAGCCCGAGTGGCCTCTGAGTTAATACCAAAATCTGCACTACACTCAGTGCCCTCTTGAGACTATCTTCRGGATCACTCTTCCTATGCTCCACAATGCACTTTAGTTTCAGTGTATCATCACTTTTGTTCAAGGCTAAAGTGCAGGGTATAATCTAAATGCCCCCAAATGGGGTTAGAAATGATCAAATAAATGCTAATACTTTCCCACAACAGAATCTTATGTACCTGTTAAGAACAATATGTTCAGATAAATGGAGATGATATATCCTAACATTAATCTGTAAAATCATCATCATCATMATMATAATAATAAGTGATATAACTAGTAAAATATCAATCACATAAATACTTTCACACGGGAAAAATATAAAAATAAATATACCAAATATTAACAATTCTTTATATCAATTTACCAAATGTTAAAATTGTTAGTCTCTGGATGGTGAGATGAAAAGTAATATCAGCTTTTCTACAGTTTGGACTCTTTTTCAAAGCTTTTTCATATAAGCACAAATAACTATCCTAATCAGAAAAACATAAATGAACCAAAATCCTAGTAGTCTTAGTACCTAAGAGTGAATAAATGAATACAACATGCTTTCTTTCTTTCTTTCTTTTCTTTTTTTTTTTTTTTTTTGTTCCAGGGATTGATTCTAGGAATGCTGAACCACTGAGCTACATCCCCAGCCCTTTTTATTTTTTTATTAATTTATTTTGAAACACAGTCTTGCTAAGTTGCTTAGGGCTTCGCTAAGTGGCTGAGGCTGGCTTTCAACTTGCATTCCTCTTGCCTTAGCCCCCCAAGCTGCTGGAAGGTGTGTGCCACAGTGACCAGCTAGGCTTTGCTTTCTAAAATCCATGAGATAAGCCTTGTTTTGTGAAGTAGAGAGAGAAAAGCAAGTACCTTTAGCATCCTCACCCAGGGCCCCTGAAAAGTCAAATGCCTTCAGGGTCTCTGTCAGGAAGGGCCACTTCAGAGTGAGTAGAGATTCCTGACCTTCCTACAAATGCCTTGAGATGACTATCCTAAAGAGAACTCAGGAAGCTGAATTCACTGGTCTATTCTTGGATCTAGATAAATTAGAAAAGGCTTATCTGGTTAGAAAGGTTTATCTTGATCATCCAAAAGGATGCTCAGAAAATGTGTCTGTCCTGGTTTATTTTTTTTCCCTTGGAAGACTAGGGTAAATGAAGAAAAGGGTGAATAAAATGGATACAGCCCGATGAGAAGGAGAGGAGGGCTATTGCTTGACACACCAGAATAGCCCAAGTTCCCTTATGTACCAGGGATCACTGGGAAAAGAAACACAGTGATAATGTGTGCAAAGAGAWAAAACATTTTGCACTAATTTTCCTTTAACTCCCTACAACACTGTCACTATGCTCACTTGACAGGCAATAAATAGGAGAAGGGAGGATCCAGGTCTCCACTGCTCTCATGGTAATGGTGTTGAGTTAGTTAGCTTCCAGTGGCTCCATACACAGTACCACAAATGTGTTGCACATGGGTGGACAGTAGAATGGGGTTATCCAGGCTGGGAAAGATGGGGAAGGGGAATAGGTAGAGGTTGGCCATTAGGTACAAAATCACAGTTAGATAAAAGGGATACATTCTGATGTTCTATAGCACAGAAGAGTGACTATTGTTAAAATAACTTACTATATATTTCAAAGCAGCTGGAAGAAGGATTTTAAATGTTCCCAACACAAAGAAATGGTGCATGTTTGAAATGATAGATATGCTAATTGGACTTATCTGATCATTATACTTTGTATGCATATATGGAGATATCACATTGTGTCCCATAAATGTGTATGATTATTTTATGATTAATTAAAAATAATAATAATAAAGACAACAGGAATTTATTTTCTCACAGTTCTGGAGACTGGGAGTCCAAAATCAAGGTGCTGGCAGGCAGTGCTCTACCTGCAGGATCTGAAGAAGGCCCTCCTGGTCTTTGCCCAGCTCCTCCTGGCCCTAGGCACTCCTTGGTTTATAGCAGTATCACTCTAGTATCTGTGTCTCTGGTCCCATGGCCCTCTTCTCAGTGTGTCTGTCTGTCTCTGTCTACTCCTCTTCTTATAAAGATATCGGTCACACTGGATTTGGACCCCCCCCCCCGCCTACTCCTGTATGACCTCACCTTAACTAATTTTATCTGCAAAGATTCTATTCCCAAACAAGGTCACCTTTTCTGACGTTCCAAGTGGTCATGAAATTTTGGGGAACGCTTCCACCCAGCACTGYTGGGTTCTGACTTAGGAGCACGGCTCCTGAGCCCACGCCCTGAGTTCCTGCCTTTACATGGCCTCCTGGGTACCCCTCATGGKGGTGCACTGTCTGCACATACACTGCACAATGTCAAGACCCCGTCCCATCCTCAATGAGCTGCTCATCTCCTTAACACGAGTGAGATACCAAAGAGAGAAAAGCACATCACTGAAGTGTCCCCTTCTGGATGCCAGAGAAGTTGAAGAGTGTGGAATGAGGGCGGATGGCCTTGGACATAGGCGGCCTCCAGACAGGGTAGGAGGAAGGGGCTACACTGAGCTAAGACAAGRTGCCACCAGAACAGCCCTCAAGACAGAGCAGGAGTGCCGGAGCAGGACGGGAACAGAGGCTGGAGTCAGGAGATCTCAGAGCTGCTTCACAAACAAGCAAAGGGACTGAGATTTAATTTTGGAAGGAAAGAAAAAAATGTAATAGGGGTGAAATTCAGGTTTAAGAACTCCTCTGGCCGAGGAGGGCAGAGTGAGCACAGAGCCTGGAAAAACCAAGTTGTCAAAACCTATTGACAAAATACGCTGGGGCGCTTGTGCATGGATATGCACAGGCATCATGTCTACATCTTCTCCATTGACAAGTCAACAACTTGCTTTAGAAAATGAGCCCAGTATGCAGATGCTCACTGTACCTTCATTCCTTCACCGGGAGTCCCCTTCCAGGCAGTCCCTTAATCCATATGCAGGCATACCCCAGCTTCCCTCCAAAACCCAACTGTACCCCAGCCAAGAGCCGAATAAAAAGGAAGGTGAGAGAAGGAGAAATAAAAATATCTAAGTCACAGCCAAAAGAGAAAGCAGCCAGGAGAGAACTAACTCACCTTTGCATCGCTCACAGCAGGCGCCCCTCTGCTTGATGGCCAGCGCACAGTCTCTGGACAGCACTGGGCACTTCTCTCTCTTACACGTCACTTCTTTGTTCTAGGCAAAAAAAGAAACAAGAGACATTTGAAATCAACTTCAAACAGAGTTCCCAGCATCCTAACCCATGGCGGAAGTTTTCCTCTATATCTTGCTTTCATCTTGGCAAGAAGTTCTGTGATAGCAAATAGAATTTTTCTCTCTCTGAAACAGAAATATCCATCCAGGACCACGGGACTTTTGGAAAGCACAGGGTTTTTGGAGATGAGAGGAGCTGAAAAGCCCTTTCTGTAAAAGCCAACTTTGCCCAGATAACCGAATGCTCAGGGAGAAGCTTTCTCCAGCTGCATTCTAAGGTTTCCTTTTAGTACACACTCCAGAAATGATAATATTTGTGTAAATCATATTTTGCCCATTGGGCTACCTGGGCCAGGACTGCATCGTGAGAACAAAAATATTTTCTCACGGCCGTCCAACAATCCTTAATAGTTGAGTGCATTAAAATGCAGCAATCTAAASTTCCAACTCAAATAATGACAAAGTTGAGTATTGAATCAGCTCAGTAAGAGAAAAAATAATATTCCACATGCCAAGCAGAGACACAGTCGTCAGTGTTTTATAGCCGTGGGACAGCTGCGTTACATTAGCACTTATGCTAATGAAAGTGTGGTAAGCATTTGCATCTTTGGTTTTATCCCGAAAGGTTAGCTGTTAAAATGTCTCAGAGAAGATCCAAACATGATGTGTATGCCTGTCTGTAGGAGTGCGCCCACACAATCCAAAAGACTATGTCACAGAACTGCACCGAGTCTTAACAAGAGTTTACTAGGTGTTGTGGCTTTCATTCTTACTTCAGTCCTATGAGGTAAATTTTGTCATCATCCCCATTTTACAAATAAGAAAACTGCTGTTCAGAGAGAGTCCCAGACTTTTCCAACTTGACACAGCTTCACGACGGGAGAGGTGGAACTCAAGCTAATGTCACAAATGTGTGTACACGGCTCCCTAACTTGGGTTAAGGCTGGTGCTACCAACTCCGTTGCCTGGTGTGAGAGTAGCTTGGAGAGGAGCAACTGGCCAGCTCTGCTCACCTTAAAATAAACCTAGATCCCTCCTGGGATATGGACTGAAGGAATCCCAACTCAGCCATGACCATGAACTTGAGAAGACTCACAAATGTTCCCCCACACTTCAATATCAGAGACCAAGGAAGAGTTCACCTCACCATCTCTAGTCTAGAACCAAGAAGATGTGTGCATGTGTAAATGTGAATGAGTGTGTGTATGTTTGTGTGTGTGTGTGTGTGTGTGTGTGTGTGTCTTAAAGGCTGGGAGCCTAAGCCAAGCCCATATATTGAAACCCGGCCCCAAGGCTATTGTTCTAAGACAAAGTTTATCACCTACATTATTTCAAATTCCCTGGCCTCTGATACATTCCCAGGGTCTAATTCTAAGATTAATCCAGATTGTCACCCTCTGTCTTTTCATCAGATATTTTGTGAGTCCCAGAACCCCAATACCTTGAATTCAACCATCACAGCTCCCCTGAGTRGGTCAGGGGGTATTAGGAGGACAGGGCTCACCTTCCAACAGCTCCATTCCTGCATTAGTTCTGTTGTTTCCTTACCATATGATTTTGCAAGACCTCCTGAGTCCCACTACAACCCATGTAAACAGCCTGAGGCTATCCCTGGACCTGCCCAACCACCCAGAGACTGAGCATCAATCCACTGCCACCTGAACCCCATTCCTGAAGGGCTGTTGTTGCTGATGGTCTGCATTTATCATTTACTGGTAGGATTGGAGGGTGTGGCTTCTAAGCAATCCAGTCTCTCTCTCTCTCTCTCTCCCCCCTTCCTCTCTCTCTTGTTTTTCCGGTAGCTGGTATTTTCTGGTGTTTTTCTGATGGTGAAGTGCCTTCCTGGGGTTAGCCTCATTTACTCCTTAAGATCCTAGGAGACAGTAGTCTTCATCCTTAACTGCAAATGAGAACCCCCCATGGAGTTCTTAACAAAGGCTGAAGCTGCGGCCTACCCCTTGAATCTCAGCTGTCATCTAAGGACAAGCATTAGTGTATTTTCCAACTCCCAGGTAATCTGAGGCCAGCCTGGATTGCGAACTACTGCTCTAAAGAGAGTATGCTTATTCCTAAAGAGGCTAGGAATGAGTGAGGAGGTGAAGGAGCTGTCCACTCTTCCTCTGAACAACAGACGGGACGTTCTGGCTCCAAGTTCCTTCCCTCACTTTGATTCTTTACAATGAGGGTGGTATCAAAGCTAACTGTAAGTCACAGCCCATAGATTTATTTTTTATAATGTTTCTCAAATTACAAACCTAACATAGTGACGGTCAGATATTAAATTAAAGAGATCTATGTTAAAAAATTAAAAGTATCATCAAACTTACTCTCACCAAAATCATCAAGACTAGCTGTCAGACACACAGGCTGCTGGGCCTTATTAAGTGTGAGTTTGCTTTGCCAAGTGCAGCTTCTGCAAGTCCTGTTTTGATATGGACTGCCCCACTCCAGGTTGACTGTGACAGGAATTTCTTCCATAAGCAGACTTTGTCACCACAGCKTGATGCACTCAGCCAGCTTGGCTGCACCCTTAGAGAAGGGCCACCAGAAGTGCGGGTCCTCCCTCCTGAAAGGAAGACTCCTCAGGCACAAGGAGTTCAAAGCTCTCAGGCAYAGTGGCAGTCAGAGTGGTGTGAAGATGCAATTTGGGATCTGATAAATAAGAAGGCACACATTCTTCCATAGGAACTCCTTGCTAAATTATAAAYCTGGGAGTCAGTCAAAATCCATAAMAGGATCCCAACATTCATAATAAATAGCTTGTAATTATAGTCCAGCACAAAAGTTATTCTAACCAGATGGTTTGTAGATTCCATCTGGATTTTTTTTTTTTCTGTACACACAGAGTAAGAGAGGAGGACAGAAAGAACAAAACTAAACCTGTAGGCTTAGTGGAGTTTTTCCCCTTTCTGATTACACTTAGTTTTTTAAATGCTGACAAGGTCATGTTGGTAGGGAACTGCCATAGCTGATCATTTATTTCCCTGGTGTCTGATTGACGTGGATATGAAGATATGCTTAGAATCTCCAGCCCTCATGGGAAAAAAAAATTAAAAGTCTGGAGAATCACTGGAGACTGATTCCTCTGTCTCTTTAATTGAATGCAGCAGCTACAGGGTAAATTCAAACACAGGTTAATTAAGACCACTCCCTTACTTCCCTGATTTTGCCAAGAGAAAAAAACACACATCCTCAAGCCACTGGCTCTGGTGAGGAATGACACACACAAAGCCACACCTCCAAGGAGTCTCTGATCTTCTCAGTCACCTTGTCCTGAGGACACCAAAYAATCACTGTGGCTCCAGGTCACAGTTCACTCAGTTTACTTTTTCATTCAAGAAACATTTTCTGACACTGGCTCACATTCAAGGTACAATTTCTACAATGTGTTCAGGCTCGAGGCTAAGAATCTCTTATGTATTCCTTCACCAAAAATTCCACATCATCCCCATTTTACTGATGAGGAACCAAGTTAGGAAACACACAAAAGGCAGATCTGGAATACAAATAGGAAGAGATCTGTTATTTAAATGTACTTTCTGTACTTTCCAAGCTTTTGGGATACAGAGAACAAAACAATGTCCCTGCCCTGAGGACCCTGGACAGACTGAGGTCTTCTCCATGCATGTGACCTGAGCTCTCCAAAAGAATAACTTCAAGAATCTGCATCTTCACCAGCCATGGGAAGTCAATGTCTTCTGGTAGCAAGAAAAGTGGTTCCAATCTGGACATTGACAGAGAAGTGTCTCTCATAACTCTGAAAGCAAGATTGGTATCCTCAAACAGTTTTCCCCAAATTCCAGCTAGGGTTGGAGTCTCTCTATTTCTAAGCAAACAGAAATTATGGGGAAAAAATTGCATTCAAGGAAAAAGATGAAAACCTAAAAAAATCAAACTAACTACAGTAGGAGTGACAAATCTGATCTCATCTTCCATTCTCAGTCTCCTCTCTGTGTTCATCACTTTTTCTGGTCAGCCAGCCATGATTTGCCTGCTGTCAAAGGTGTCTCTCTGTATTATTGCCTCCTTTCTGAAAGACAGACAACAGATGCCCTAACATTGACCACATACACCAAAACCCAAAATGTATCCTCTGGAGACACCTCAAATGAAGTGCCAACAGGTAAAAGTAAAGGGGAGAGGGGGAAAGGAGTAAAAAAAAAATCTACATGGCTGGCAACAAAGGTCTGTAAGGATGGGAGCCAAACCACAGACTGAAGCCACAGCCAAGTTCAAGCAGGATTCTGGCGGCTGGCTTGCTGTATCTGAGACCTGCCACTAGATGGCAGCACAGAGTTCCCTGGCTTTAAAAATTGCAGCCCTGAGCCTGGCTCCCATCACRGGAGCATTTTTCAGTGTCTGGTGGGGAGGGAAATGAACTCTCCCTGTTGAGAGTTGGGCAGAAGGGTGCAGAAGATAGTAAAGCACCAGTGTTAAATGTTTCTGTTTGCTTTCTTCCACCAGACAAAAACGTTTTTGAGATGATTTTATTATATTCCCAGCCAATGACTTGAAGATTTTTTTTTAATTCTTCCAGAACTAATCCTATTATGCAATATGGAAAGTATTACCTGATCTGTCGTTTATGCTTTAAAAAAACCTTAATAATCTGGAGACAAAAACACAGCAGCTAATATGATGTGAGTGGTGAAGGACAGACATCCACAGACAGATATTGTTTTAGACTATGAGACAGTATCACAGATCTTGTGAAAAAAAAAAAAACTTAATTTGAAAATATCCACTCCCTTGCCTGCTGATCCTTCATTTAATGAGCCATACTAGCAAGGTGGCAGTCCACACTAGTCTATTCCCCTGGAGATGGCATAATTTTCCTTCCATCCCTGTCCCTTATGAAAGCAAAGCCTGCCTCAAAGGCAAACAGCTGTCTTGGCAAATAGTCAAATTCAAAGTGCCAGGTAGGTCCTTTCTCAGAAAACTGAGAAAGCTGTGAAGTTATGACATTCCTTTCTGCCCAAATG